ATGGGGAAACTCACAATAATAAGATAGATATGATGTTCATGAGTATTTAATATGTAAAAAATTGTATTGAGTTAATCAAGCATATACCTACTACATATGTTACTAATTATCCTGTCTTTTTTGTTTGGAGGCCATACCCCAGAAGGCTCAGAGGCTGCACTTGGCTGGGTGCTAGTGAATCACTCCCAGCAGTGCTCAAGGGACTGAAGTTGCCAGCAATTAAAAGGAGCCTCTGCACGCACAAAATGTACTCCAGTCTCTGAGCAAGCTCCCTGGCCCACTGGTCTGCCTCTGAAGCCTTTAAAGTCTTGTACAGAGTCCCATATCCTTGACATGGCTGACATTTTGGACAAGATAGCTCTTAGTTATAGAAGGCTGTCTGTATAATTGGAGGATGGTAAGCTACATGCCATCTCCCCCATACACACACACCACACACACACACACACACACACACACACACATACATACACACTTACTGTTTTTGTTGTGACAACTCAAACTCTCTCCAAAACTAAATGTCTAAGGAGTGGGAGAGGACAAAAATCATCCCCAGATTATCCTTTGACATTGTAGAAGGATGAAGAGAACTCTCCAGACAATAGCAATGAAATCCGTAAATATTGAAAGAATATAAAGAAAAATTTACAGTGAGTAAGTTTAAAACTCTCCACTTTTTAAAAATTTGTTTGGGGACTGGAGCAATAGCACAATGGGTCGGGTACTTGCCTTGCACGGGGCCGACCTGGCCAACCCGAGTTCAATTCCTCCACCTTTGATTCCTCCGCCCCTCTCGGAGAGTCCGGCAAGCAACCGAGAGTATCTCGCCCGTATGGCAAAGCTTGGCAAGCTACCCGTGACGTATTTGATATGTCAAACACAGTAACAACAAGTCTCACAATGTTATTTGGCCCGCTCGATCAAATCAACAAACATCGGGAGTGACAGTGACAGTTTGGGGGCCAAACCTGCTTGTTCTTAGGGCCTACTTCTGATTCTGTGTTTAAGAGTTGCTCATGGCAGTCCTTGGGTGATCCAGCCCAGGCCTCTCGAGGGCACAGCATGTTCTCAGCCTATTGAGCTTTATTTCTGGTCCCCCAGACTATTCTTAATGAGACCTGCACAGAGTCTTCCTTGGTTATCTCAAGCTTCCTTCTCTGTCAGTGTAGATATTAGTTAGATGCAATGCTGCCTTGGTATTATGCTGAGTCCTACCTTGTGAAGGACTGAAATGAAAGCTGGAAGCAAGGAGCTGTGGTCAGTTACTCATGCATAACCCCAGAAATCTCTCAGTTATGTAAACCATGCCTCACCATCTGAGGAGGGAAGTTTTGGTTCTAGAGGGAGACCAAAATTTGCTCAGAGTATATAAAAATATTTAATTCAGAATGCTGATTACAGTTTGTTTCTTCCTGCAATGAATCTTTATTGTTCAGATGCTCTTTTTAGCCATAGCTCAGATTCCTTTCTTACAATCTTCCCCTTAAACCAAAAGGAAATAACATTCTGTCCACTCTTCCTTTTTATGTGCCAACTCGATTATAGGGTTCCAGTGGAGATCAAACTATTTTAGTTATACACAGAGGTTATTGGGGGATTTGGGAACCAAGAAGTTGGAGGATAATATCCTTTAACCTCAGTCCTGCAGCTTGTGCTTATTATTGTTTATGCATAGAAATCAGGGAGGCACTTCAGCTCAGGGGAATAAGCAACAACTGGTTCTGTTTAGCTCTGCGAGGGCCTCCTCCTGGGATCGGGGAAGAGGATTAGATCATAACATAAGTCCATGCAGATTTTATAAACAGTGCCATCCATCACATAGGGTTGCTCTAAGTTCCAAATTCTCACATGTGAGGCCTCCTCAGGGGAGAGTCATTTTTTTAAAACCTCGTGGAAAGTTTAGCCATGGGTGGTTGATAGGATGGAAATCTTCCAGAAGCATTTGTGTGTTCTTGAATAAAGCACACTATCAAGACCCATAAATGCCTTTGGACAATATCTCAACCACTTTTCCTTGTCAGGAGACCCCCTACTTCATAGGAGTATTGAGAGTTGAAAGTGAGAAAATGTAAGTGAAGGCTTTTTGCAGAGTTGTAAAACACTATACGCATATACACATTTAAGGCATCTCTGTTGTTATTTCATGGCTGCCAATAAGGCTAATAGGATTCAACTCCCAGGAAACAGTCTCTTGTGTGGATTTTATTGGTGGTGTGTGTTCTGCATTTGGAATTAGATTTTCTGAAAAACACACAATTATTTTCATTTCCTTAGTAATTTTATTTAAGTATAACTTTTGCATCTGTTCTCCTGCCAAGGCCACCCTGTTCATAAGCCCAGGGACACTCTTTAGTTAGAATTGCTTTGATTTATCTGCTGGTGTGCCTTCCCCAAGCTGGACCATGCTCCCACATGTTCTTAGCATGTACAACCGCCTAGTCAAGATGGTTATCTGAAAATCCAGGTAGACTTTTCTTTTCATAAACATGTAACTCAATAGCTCCTTGTTTGGGATGTTTTTTCCACCACCAGTTCTTTTTCTTTTGCTATGGATTGCAACACAGTTTGGATAAAGGTCCTGAACTGAGTAAAAATGAAGATGACAAGAAAAGCTTACCTCCTGTACATTCTCAAAGGCCCAGTCTGTGCTGGGATTCAACACTTCTTTTCAGTGAAAGGCTGAGTAGTGAATGTTGTTGACTTCTTGTTTATGGAGTCCAGGCCTCAACTACTCATTCTTCCTGGTGCCTCATGAAGCCCACCCTGGACATTTGCCTCACATGTGGCTGACCTTGTTCGATCCCTAGCACCATATGTGGGCCCCTGAGCCCTGCCAGGAGTGATTTCTAAGTATAGAGCCAGAAGTAAGCCCTGAATACCAATGTGACCCCCAAAACACCAAGAATCAACAAACAAAGCTTATTTGTCAATAGGTAAATTTGATTTCATAAACTTTTCACATTTCAAAAATATTTTAACCTTTTTTATTCTTGAAAAGTTTGCAATTTACACTTAGGTCATAGACCATACCAAAAATATAAATGAAGAATCACGGGGCGTTTCCCCCTCATCTGTGCTGTTCTCACTGTTGTGGATAATGAATAGCTGTACATAAGTAATTCTCTAATGCTTCCCCAGCTAAAGACAGAGTAACACCCATCACTTAACCTAGTTAGCAGAATCTGAAATTCTGTTTCAACCCCTACCCTGAATGTTTCCATCTGTGTCCAGGAGTTTAATCACATATCAGAGTCTCAGGATACTCATTTGTAAAATAGTGATAAGAACTCTTTTTCAGCTTCCCACAGACTTCTTTGAGCCTCCATAGTGCTTTATGAACCCAAAAGCATGATAGCGATATAGATGTTCACATATTCTTATTCCAGGTTTCCCCCATTCCCTCCATTTTCAAAAAGTACATCACAGAACATCAAATCATCCTTCACAAAGTCTGTCTGGTGGGCCTCTTCTTGCCAAACTGAATCCCAAGGATGCACAGATGAATAAGAACTAGACTTCCCCCGCTAGGCAAAAGAAGAGAATGACAGTGAGATGTGGCATGTATGTAACTGAAAAGGGATAGAATGGGTTGCAGCGGGAGAATGCAGCGGTAAGATGGGGCAACAGGAAGGAGAGTTAGTGAAGATGCCAACAGAATGGCTTCGGGGGGAGGGATTTCAGCTGGGAGTAGTGTGGAGTATTTGGAAAATGTCAGTAACTAAGGAGCCCAGCATGAGATAAGGATTTCATTTAGGAAAATAGTCTGGGATGAATGGTTAGAGGAAGGAGGCAAAAGTTTGTGTATCCTGCAAAAAAATGTGGGTATTCCCCCCACCCGTCCCCTACCCCCCCCCCCCCCAACACACTGAAGGGCAGATATCAAGAAGTTTAAGTAGGGTAATAAATACCTAACCATGAATGGGTTCTGGAATATTTACTCTGGGAGCATATGTGACAGAGGAAATATTTGGGGTAGGGGCAGCAGTGACAATAAAAGCAGAAAGTCTCTGTAATGCGGTATGCGGTAGGTGAGTGATTAAGAGGAGCCACGGTCTAGGACAAAACATGAAGGATAGGAGTATAACTTTAGTTTTACCAAACTACCTACATGAAATTTAAAGAATTTTTGAAAGAATAATGATATAAGTGCATTGGAAAACATGGTAAAGATATTAATCCTTTTGTTAATAAATGTAATGGTATCTTCATGTTAATAAATGCTGGAGCAGTAGCACAGCGGTAGGGCATCTGCCTTACAAGCGGCCAACATGGCCGACCTGAGTTCGATTCCTCCGCCCCTCTCAGAGAGCCCGGCAAGCTACCGAGAGTATCTCGCCCGCAGGGCAGAGCCTGGCAAGCTCCCCGTGACGTATTCGATATGCCAGACACAGTAACAAGTCTCACGATGGAGATGTTACTGGGCCCGCACAAGCAAATCGATGAACAACGGGAGGACGGTGCTTAGTAATAATAAATGTAATGGTATATTCATGCATACATAAATGATTAGGATCCAGTTCCGTAAGGTGGCCGTTTACCTTCAAGGTTTCTGCAAGTTGGCATCTATACAATTAGTTGACAATGTACTTGCTTAAAATCTCGAATAATCAATGTTATAACTTTGATTGCTAAAAAGGATCATTGAACAGAACTTTTATGAAGTATTAACATACAATATTAATGCACAAGGGCTGACAGCACAAGGGCTGGAGCGATAGCACAGCGGGTAGGGCGTTCGCCTTACAAGCGGCCAACATGGCCGACCCGAGTTCGATTCCTCCGCCCCTCTCGGAGAGCCCGGCAAGCTACCGAGAGTATTCGATATGCCAGACACAGTAACAACAAAGTCTCCAATGGAGAAGTTACTGGGCCCGCTGGAGCAAATCGACGATCAACGGGAGGGCCTTTACCTTTTTAACATACAATAGAGATTGTGATGAGCCTTTGATTAAATCTTGATTTCTTTGTGAAATGCATGTGATTTTATGTCTTTGTTTCAGATAAAAATCCAAGCTTTGAGAAACAGAATCCAGATCCTCCACGTAAGTCTTTGTGCAATTATTTCAAAATAAAGCCTCCTGGGCTTTACTAGGAATGAGTTGGTTATACAATGTTTGCCAAACTGTTGAGTTTTGGTAAGGAGACTTCTGTTCTTATTTTTACTCCCTGTTCTCATACTATATTTTTCCTCTCTTTTTTATTCTTTGTTCTTTTATTCTTTTTTAACCTTCCTTTCTTCCTTTAAAAATATGAATTTGTTTGGGGCTGGAGAGATAGTACAGGAGTTAAGGCACTTTTTCATGTGGCTAACTGTGGTTCCACTCCTGGCACTACATGGTCCCTTAAGCAGTGCCAAGAGTGATCCTTAATCTCAGAGCCAATCATAAGCCCAGAGCACCACCAAATATGACCCCTAAACAAACAATAAATACAAATATTGAATTTGGTGATTCATTGATGCCTCTGGTCTTAACGTGAAGATAGTAACTTACTCTTTTTAGAGATACAAATTCATTACCTGTTGTGATCTGACAGTAGCATTAAGACACAGCTGTAGAAGTTGTTTGCTTTATATTCATCAATTGTGTTTACCTGTACAGAGAATTGTACTAAAGATGTTAGTTGTAGACATTAAAGAAAATCTGTAGACTAAGGGATGGTATATTTGGGATTGGGGAATGGGCAGCTTGTAAGAAAGTTGCCATCTGCTGCAGAATGATGGGATGGAGCCCAGGTAAATCATGTGCAAGGCAATCTCCCCACTATAGTATCTCTCTGGGCCCAAGAAGGCAGTCTCTTAAACAAAAGGAAATATTTTATTTCTGTGGCCTGGAATTAATCTCAAATATAAAAATATTTGCCAAATGGAGAAACAATTGTTCTATTTATGTTTTACCAACCATGAAATTGACATCACTCCCCACCCCACTGAAAATTGAGAAATAGTTCCTTTCACCTCATATATCAAAGTTGGAAAAGTGGTGTTGTTTTTTTTTTAAGTGGATTGTTTTAAACGACACAATACATAATTGTTAAGATCAGGGATTTAATATGAGACCAGTAAAGTACTCTAATGCACTGGAAAAGTTTATCCTTATTTTATGTTTTTCATTCTTATTTCCTTTCCTCATTCTTTTGAATGTTCATAAAAAATATTTTTATAAAGGATTCAGATATGAGTTTTGTGTATTGTCAATAGTATTTGATAAATAACAATGTATCAGATTTGATGTTGGAAATTTACTTTCCTGAGCATCTTAACTTCTGAATTAAGTTTGTTGCTCAAGATGGACTGCAAACTGAAGAAGTCTTAAAACATCATTAGTCTCCTTTACCTTTTCAGAAAAACAAAACAGTATGTTATAAATACAATGTATTTTGTTGGGACCTTGATTTCTTTCTCTTTTTTAATTTTATTTTTGATTTTGGTCCAGAACCTGTGGTCTTCAAGAGCTATTCTCAGCACAGCACTTGGAGGTCACTCCTGGTAGAACTCAAGGGACCATGTAGTGCCAGAGATCAACTTCAGGGCTCCTGTATGCTAAGCATGTGGTCCAATCCTTTGAGATTTCTGGTCCAGAATTTTTATTTCGTCCTCAGATTTAACCAGTCATTGCTTGTACTTTCTGGCAGGATTATAAAGCAAATATAAACTTGCAATACAGGATGCTTACTGTGTATTCTTTGTTTCCTCTCCTCCTAGCAATTTTCCATGGCCTGGACACCCTGACTGTGATGGGTATCGCATTTGCAGCATTTGTGATTGGAGCCCTCCTTACAGGGGCCTTGTGGTACATCTATTCACACACAGGTAATCCTATATGTCTACTGATTGGTGCATCTGTGTGTACCTACCCACACAGCAGTGTTTAATGCATGTGTGAAATAGTATATGAAAGATAGCGTTCCTCCAGTTATTTTTACATGATATATTTGGCATAGAGTTTTACCAAAAAATAGTGTTAGAAATTTTCAATAGTGTTAGAAAAGAAATGTTTAAATTTAAACTCTGTTCATATGTGCAGTTGAAAGATTGGTGAAGCTCAACATCTGAGAAAGCTATTTTGTGCTTTGGGTTTTGTTAAAGAAAGTTGATGCAGACAAATGAAGAACATAAACTGTCCTCCCAAAGCTAAAGACTTCACACTAAATATATAAGTGGGCAGCAAGTAAAAAGGGAAGCCAAGATTTTATGACCACATCAGCCAACATACTGCTCACTGTCCACAAGAGCCCTTCATCAGTAGCTTAAGCCAGAATTTCTCCACCATTTCAAACCCATTGCCACAAACTCAGAAAGCAAAATTGAGGGTGTTTTTTTTAACTTTTTAATTTTTTGTTGAATCAGCATGTGATAGAGCATTACAAAGCTGTTCAAAATTGTGTTTCAGTCATACAGTGTACCAATACCCATCCCTCCACCAGTGTAATTTCCCAGCACCAGCATCCCCAGTTTCCCTCCTATCCCTTCAAGTCACCCCCAACTTCTGCCTGCCTCTATGACAGGCACCTCTCTTCTCTTACTCTCTTTCTCTTTCTTTCTTTCATTTTAGGCATTTATGGTTTGCGATACAGACGCTGAAAAGTTATCATGTATATCCCTTTGCCTACTTTTAACACTCAGTTCTTGTCCAGAGTGATCATTTCCAACTAGTATTGTCATAATCATCCCTCCTCTACCTTAACTGTCATCCATTCCCCCACACCTTTGTGGTAATTCCCAATCATTGACAGTCCTGGCCCATTTTCCTTGGCATTGGATATTAGTTTCACACTGTTATATATAAGTAAAGTAAAAGTAAAGGCCCTCCCGTTGATCGTCGATTTGCTCGAGCGGGCCCAGTAACGTCTCCATTGGAGACTTTGTTGTTACTGTGTCTGGCATATGGAATACTCTCGGTAGCTTGCCGGGCTCTCCGAGGTTATATATATATATATATATATATATATATATATATATATATATATATATCCCACAAATAAATGCATTCATTCTATATCTGTTCCGCTCCTTCTGACTCATTTCACTCTACATGATATTCTCTAAGTCCATCCATTTATAGGCAAATTTCATGACCTCATTTTCCCCAACAGCTGTGTAGTACTCCAATGTGTAGGTATACCATAGTTTCTTTATCCATTAGTCTGTTCTTGGACACTTAGGTTGTTTCCAGATTCTGGCTATTGTGAATAATGCTGCAATGAACATAGAAGTGCAGATGGTGTTTCTGTTGTCTGTTTTTGGACCTCAGGGTGTATTCTCAGAAGTGGTATTGCGGGATCAAATGGGAGCTCAATTTCTAGTTTTTTGAGGAATATCCATATTGTCTTCCAAAAAGGCTGGACCAATTGGCATTCCCACCAGTTATGAATGAGGGCCCCTTTCTCCTCGCTTCCTTGTCAGCACTGGTTGTTCTTGTTCATTTGGATTTGTGTCAGTCTCTTTGGTGTGAAATGATATTTCATTGTTGTTTTGATTTGCATCTACCTGATGATCAGTGATGTAGAGCATTTTTTCATATGCCTTTTGGCCATTTGAATTTTTTCTCTGAGGAAGTTTCTTCTCTGAAGAAGTTTGAGGGAGCTGAGTTTTAAAGCAAAGTGGAGTCAAGTGTTATTGCTAGTAGAATTCTGAGACTGTGATTCTCCTCTTCTCTCTCAAAAACTAGAGACTTTAAAGTGCTTCTTTTCATAAATTATGTTACTATGGAAATAAAATTGTAAGTAGTTTTTTTAACCCCTATTTTAAAGACTGTTCACAAGGAGTAGCAGAGTCATACAAACATGAAAAAGACTCACAGGTAGTTTCTAGTTGACAGCTCCCTCAGTTTTATCTGGTTCAGCTGACAGCAAGTTTAGACATTTTTTTCATTTCATTTCATCATCCTGTTAATCGTCGATTGCCTCGAGCAGGCCCCAGTAACGTCTCTTTCATCCTAGCCCTGAGATTATATTCACGGCTCTTTAGGAGAATGAGACCCATCATTGTTACTGGTATTTGGCATATTTGGTAGGCCACGGGGAGTTTGCCAGACTCTGCTCTGTGGGCAGGCTACATTCGATAGCCTGCAAGTTTGTCCAAAGTAGGAATGAGATAATAAGATGTAATAATAAGTTTAATAAGTTTAGACAAAAAGATAATAATGCAGTAGTCAGTGGGGAGAAGTTGGCATACAACTGCCAACTCAGTTCATTTATTTTTTTAATTTTAATTTAATATAGAATAATTAATGTGGGTTTGTTTATGAATAGTTTAGAGGCTTCTCTAAGGGTGATCTGGTAAGTCTTTATTGAGAAACTTCTAAGATCCCCTTGTTTTCTACAAAACAGATTTTTCTGCTTCTTTCCTGGTGTAGTTCTGTCAGCATTTTTCAGGGGTACAGCATTCTGCATGTAGGTTCATTTGCTCTCTCTCCTTTTTTTCATTTTGGTTCTCTGCCCTCAGCTGCCCCCAGTGTTGCTGGTTCCTGGAACTATCAGTTTCATCCTCTTTATAGAGTAAACTTCCTGTCTTCTGATGAGGAAGGGCAAGGTCCCAGCCCATGAAGTCAGGAAGGGAAGTTAGAAAAATCTTACTGTCTCTTATATAGAAATTCTGCCAACTCCACTTCTTATAATCACATGTCCATCCTCTCTTCCAGAGGTGCCTGGTCCTATACTAGTCTTGAGTTTTTGAGAGTTCTGAGTAGATTGTTTTTAGTGTTGACTTTGACTGTAGTTATTTTGCATCTTGTCAGTCTACTCACACTTTTCCTCACCAGTTTCCATTATTTCACTGCTCCTATCTCCATGTCTGCTCTCTTTTTTTTTTCTTGTAGATTATTTTTTTAATTAAATTAGCGTAAGGAACACAGTTACAGAGTTGTTCATGTTGGAACATACAATGTTCCAATACCCATCTCTTAACCATTGTTCATTTCCCACCACCTTTAATCCCAGTTTCCCTCCTTCCATCCCTCAATATCTACATTGGAGTCAGAGTCATACATAAGTGGTAAAGCACTCAAGTGCCTTGAATATGAAATGGCCTGGGTTTCAGTGATTGATTCCACATGGCCTCTGAGTACTACTGGATGTAGCCTTCAAACAATTTTTTAAGATAAAAATCTCTGAATTTATCATTTTGGTGAATTTTTTTCCAGGCCTATGTATACCTTTTTACACCAATGAATGTCTTTGTTTCTTGATATTCTGAATTTGTAATTATTTATAGTTTAATTATGAATTACTGTAAAGAGAATGAAATAGACTACTTTAGAAGTCCTTTTTTAGAAAATTATTCTCAAAAAATTTTCCTCCACATTCTCCAAGCTGAAATATGAAACACTACAGAAGGATAAGCTTGATATTATTATGGTCTCTCTGATTTCACTTTGCCTTTGTGGCCCCTGAACAGGATGCACCAACAGGCTGATAATAATAATAAAAGCAAGAAGAAGGAAAAGGTCAGGGAGGCCTCTCGCCACACATATCAGAGTGCCCTTGAAGTGGTTGTCATCAGAAATTAGAGTTGGAAATCAGATTCGTTGAGTGGCTAATCTGGTTACCCTCATGAGCTAGATGTGCTGACTGTATTTCCATTTAGTATGCATAGACAAGAGCCCAGTCTCACAAAGTTACTGAAGGTTAGAATGCTTAACCAAAAAATACTTGCCAAAAGCTTTCTGAATTGAAAATCTTGCAAAAATGTACATTATTTACTGTTGCTCAGATGTGTTGGCAGAAAAAAAGCCCTAAGTGTGGTAAAAACACTATTTCTCAATTTGTTTTCAGCATTTATTTTGCAATAATATAATTAGGTTTTCAGTTAGGCATACTGTACCAGTTATATTCAGTAATCCCCAGAGTTGAATACACCGTGCACCTTCTAAGCAAAAGGTCCTTAGGGCTTTTGGTTGGGAGAATCTGTGTTTTTAAATGCTTTGGGTTTCTTCAGATTTTCTCAAGCCTAGTCCAGATGAAAAGAGAAGCAGCAGGAAGATTGGCTAAGATCCCAGGGATCTGAAATATGCAGTTAGAATAGTCAGAAACCTAGTATGACGGTTGAGAAAGCAGAATTCACTCTTTTCATTCTAATACTTACGTTAGGTTAGTAGTAAATTCGTCAGGGGAAAATCAAAGTGCAGATACTAACAGATTGACCACACTACCACAATATAGAAAGAAAGTGATGGGTTGGGAATTTTGAAAGATTTTAATTATGGACTTGAAGCATTTCTTTTTTTCTTCCCTTCAAATTGATAATGTGTAACCCACTCCTTTGTGTAGTAAAACCTACAAAAGGAAGGTATTTTAGCTTGGAGAACAGAGAGAAGCAATTTTTGAAAATGATAAAAAGCATTTGAAAACATCTTTAAAGTCTAACTCATTCTCTACAGAAATGAGCTTGTGATTTAATTACTTATTCAAGGAATATCAAGAAACCAAGATGTTAATTGTTGTAAATTTGCGTAAACGTAAAGGGAAATATTTTTGTTTTCTTTCCAGCATCATGTAATCATAAAATCATCTCCAGACATATGCTTTTCAGTTCAGTACTTATTATATATTTCCTAAGAAAGTGATTTCATAAGTCCCCATAAATTTAATAAATTCTTTCATAACCAATTCTTATAATTAGCAAGTTCTTTTCTGTGTAATGTAAATCCCTTAGTGTTGCCATTAAAATTCATTTCCTCATGTTATTAGTCCCTCAAGGGAATCAGAACAGCCCTCCATTCCTCTCTGTAATAATCCTCTGTGGATAATGTTTGCAAAGAGCCTCCTTTGAGCTAAATAACCAAGATTCTTCTCATCTTTCTTTGAAATTCTGTTATTTTCACATAGAGCCACTCTACTTATATCTTCCTAAGATAGCTCTTCCTTAGGACCTGCCATGCTGAAAGACTTAAGAAATAAGAGTCCAGTTGTAAAGTGGATCACCAAATAGGAGGCAAGAAATCTGATCTGGACAGCTCCATAGCAAGCTAAAGAATTAAATACGTTTTTCTTAAAAAATATTTATTTTTTTCTGGAGCCAGAGAGATAGTATAATGAGTACAGTGCCCTGTAGCCACTGGCCCAAGTTTGATCCCTTGCATCCCATATGGTCCCCTGAGTGATTCCTGAGTGCAGAGCCAGAAGTCCAGCCCTGAGCATCACTGGGTATCACCAACAACCAACAAACAAACAAACAAAAGAAATATATTTTTGTTCTTCTTAACAGCATCTCTAGCAATATCTAGGCTCAATCATAGGTATTTTGTGTCTTTGTGGAATTCATACACCCTCTTCCTGAGTACCACACGCACCAAATATCTCTTTCCATGACACTCTCCCTCCAGATTTTCTTCCTTCATGTTTGAAATTTTATTTATCTTTCTTAAAATTTAGAATTTCAGGAGTGAATTGTAGAAACTGAACATATTTATTTGGATGGCGAAGTTTGATATTTAGGAGCAACCAGCCATCTTTGAACTCCATAACTCCATAAGGGAGGGGATTTACTCCACGTGTTCTTAGATCTCCCTGTCCCATCTTGTCCAGATGTAGTCAGTTGTATTGTCACCCAAGGAATCTTTTTGACAAAGTCTGTGCTCTGAGAAATCAGATATCACTTTGACAGATGGCAAGTAAACTAAAAGATCCCTCTCAGAAACCCCAGTGGTCTTTATTGGGTTGTTTGTTTATATTTTGTTTGTTTGTTTTGGGGACACATCTGGCAGTGCTCTGGACTTACTCCTGACTCTGTGCTCAGAAATCACTCCTGGCAGTGCTCAGGGTACTATATGGGGTGCTGGATATCTAATCCAAGTTGACTGCGTGCAACTCAAGTGCCCTGCCCACTATACCATTTTTCTGGCCCCAATACATTACTTTCTTGTGATAAATTTTCCTGTAGTGCTACTAGCATCTGACAGAGAATTTTTTTAAGTTTCTCAGAAAGTAATAAACTTGGTTATATTGTAAAATCTTCAGTGTTTTATGGGAAAATAGTCACAGAGGTGGAAGGGAGTGTGTAAATGATATTTTTGACATTTCCAAGCAGATTCTCAGATAAGAATTTTCTGTGGCATATTAATGGCTCCAAGTCCCTAAATCATTAGCTTAAGTGGACTTGTTGATCTTGGTGAAATGCAGACTTGGGGTAAGGGGACTGCTTTGTTTTGTTTTGCGTGGGGTTTCATTTTAGATAATGTTTTGCATTAATAGAATCAGAGTTTCCAGAACTCTACAACTTGAAAGAACTTTTTAATGGACACTGATTAAAATAAACGGACACAGAAACAAATTATATTTGGCAAATAGACATTGGAAAGCAAATATTCAGACTTCCTGGGCAGGGGATAGTACTGGCATCTTTCCTAAATGTGAATAAGCAAGCACATGTCAAACTCTGGATGAGACCCAGTTTTAGCAATAAATGAGGCAATGCCCACTCCTCCTTTGGCTGAACACCTGAAGCCCAGGTGAGCTTGAAAAGAGAGAGGAGCACTGACCTACTGTTTTAATAAATCCTCATGTAAGTGAAAGAAGATATTTTATTTTTTGAAAAGTTTTTTTTAAAATGTACTCCGTGTACAATTACAATAGTTGTTCTAATTGATGCCAGGAGGTTTAGATTAGTCATGAACCACCATATGGGTTGTAAGGAGGCTGAATTTTGTTGTTGTTTTGTTTTGTTTGGGGGCCACATCCAGCAGTGCTCAGGGTTTATGTCCAACTCTGTGCTCAGGGAGCACTCCTGGTAGGCACAAGGGTGTTGGGGATCGAAATGGGTTAACTGTACAAGGCAAGTATCCACTGCAATGTCTCTCTGGCCCCGGATTTTAAAAAAAAAGTCATTATACTCAGATTTTTGTTGAGAGTTTCTTCTATCACTTTGTCCCTTTAACATCAAAATAGCTGATATTTGCTTTCCTCTCTCCAATCAAGCTTGGCTCTTGGGAAGGTGGCTTTCTGGCAGTCTTCTGTATCTTTAATGACAGACACACATCTTTAGAGCCAGTGCTGGGAAAAATCCAAAATAGAGATTTCTCCCCCCCCCCCCCAAAAAAAAGGAACGTGAAACTACAATGTTTCTGAGTCTCACGGGAATATTGACCCTTCATCTATCCCCTCCATCCCACCAATCCCAGGAGAAAAATTAATCGGAGGAAATACAGGCAATGCCAAATATTGTAACGCAGAGAAATGCCCTTGGGTGGATGCAGAACTTCACTGCAGCTCTGCAGGTTTGTAAAATTGGTGACAGAAAGTTGTAACCAGACCCAAGAGGCTGAACCAGTTCTGCATCTTGCAAGACTGTTTTCTGGCTGAGTCTTTTGAGGGGCCCGAGAAAGGGAATGGGTGGGGAGGGGAAGGGGGGGCCAGCACGGTCCTGTACAGGGGCTGTTCTTAGAGGGCAGAGCTTTTGCTCTGTTTTGTTTTAATAAAACAGCTAGAGGGAGGGTTGCTTATCTAGGCTTGAAGCTGTGTGTTTCAACAAGACAGGAAGGAGGCAGCTCGTCCAGAAACAGATCTGGCCCTCTGGGGCTTCCCGATTGGGAAGGGTGGGCACTGACCAAAAATCTATGAAGTTTATGCCCTGGTTTTTCAAAGAAAATGTCATTCGAGAGCCTTGATCACTTTTCCCTACCTACGGCCATTTTTGTTTTGTTTTGAGGGTACCCTGAAGCCCTTTTTGCGAAGAAAAGACAACTCTCAAGTTCTTTTTGCAGTGCTAAATGCAAACCATGTGTGTGACCCTGGGTTTCCTCCCTCCTGGAACTCTGCATATTTGGCATAAGGAATGGGTTTAGCTGCAATGCAGTGGGGAATGCGATGAAAAGTACAATTCTTAATGTTTTAGGAGAGACTTACACATTGTACCTGGTAGTGAACACCTGGGTTGGAGGCCCGGAGGACTGTTCCTGGGCCACCATCGTCCCCACATGTGAGCCACTATCCCACATCCCACCCCAGTAGTCCTCTAGAGCAATCTCCCCCAACTTCTGCAGTGTCCTTGGAGCTGGAGCTAGGACAAGGTCATCTTCACTGCCATTTTGAACAAGTACCTTCAGGAGAAGAGCCAGAGCTCATTACTGTTCACTTAGTGCCCTTTAAAGGTTGCTCCTTCAGGGGCTGGAGTGAAAGCATAGCGAGTAGGGCTTTTGCCTTGCACATGCCCAACCCAGTTCCCCGAGCACCACCAGGAGTAATTCCTGAGTGCATGAGCCAGGAGTAACCCCTGTGCAACACTGGGTGTAACCCAAAAAGAAAAAAAACGTTGCTCCCTCCAAACCATGCAGTGCTGCGTGAGGGGTGACCACCATGACACCCAAACCTGGTGCTGCCTGGCTATACAGGTTTCTTCAAAGGTTCTGGGACTGTAGGGTTTCATGTCAACCCTCAGGCACCTTCCCCACTCTACCTTGCCAGTTCAGACCAGTTCTTTTCCCACCCCCTCTTGCAGTTCTTTTCCCACCCCTTCTTTTCAAACAAAACCCCCGACAAATGAAACTGCCTTCTGGTGGAAGGTTCTCTGTGCCCTAGGAGGTGATGCCTATAGTGAACAGATTCTTCTGCAAAGCAGCAAAATTGGAGCAGGGACTGGGGGCATGTTCTTTTCAGGAATGAGCCAAGAAAACATGATTCTCCCTTTGTCCCCTTCTTACCTCCAGGGGAGACAGCCAGGAGACAGCAGGTGCCCACGTCCCCACCGGCCTCGGAGAACAGCAGCGCAGCACACAGCATTGGCAGCACACAGAGCACACCCTGCTCCAGCAGCAGCACTGCCTAGCCTGCCCGCCAAGGCCGAAGGCAGGACCTCCCGGCCACCAGCATTCGTTAGTTCAGACTTGGAAGACTTGATTGATTGTGGTTCCCTTGTAAAGAAAAATGAGTTTCAGTATAAAGATCACCTGTTGTATTCGTCACCCCCACCCCCACCCCTGCCCCAGGGCTAATATATTGGCAGCCCTGGGCATGAGTAACACTCTAGAATTCATGTGTGAAAGCTGAGGTGGTGGTCTCCACCAGCCCTCCTGGGCTTGGGGGTTTTCAATGTGAAACACATGCCAGTTTTTTTAAATGCTGCTTTGTCCAAGTAAGAACATCATCCATGATTTGAGGTCCTGAGTTTTACCCAGACTCCAGGAGTTGGTAAAAGGGTAAGAGCCAGATACAACCAGTGAGATGTGGCCAAAGATTCTTTTATAACTGAACCAAGATGTAAAACAGAAGATGTGCTCTGAGACGCTCTAAAGTTTCTCCTTGTGGAATTTGCACGTTTGTCAGGAGGCATGCTTCACATCCACTCCACACCTTAAGTGTGTGTGTTGGGGTGTGTTGATGAATGTGGTGTGTGTGTGTGTGTGTGTGTGTGTGTGTGTATGTGGGTGTGTGAGTGAAATGCAGGACTTGTTGGGCTCTGCCCTCAGGACTGAATCCTGACACACAGCTAGGCAACATTCCTTTCTTGTTCCCTGGGCCAGAACCTTGTTGATGACCTTGTCCGCTTCCTCTTCTCCCTCCTCCCTAACAGCACACGGCCTGCAAAACTGTCTTAATGCAAATTTATTTCCTGTCCATTTAGAGGTGGAAAATGGCCGGAATCTAGGGCTGCAATTTTGAGATACTTTCTGACATTTTGCCCTGCTCAAATGGCCTGTCAATTCGGACAGACTTCATTTGCGAAACTGAGGAGGAATTTGTACAGGACTCTGTGAATGCAAGTACAAGTTTATAATCCATCATCTGAAACATTCGATGGAGTGGGGGGAAAAAATCACATTTAAAAAATGTCCTGTACCTCCAGAGCTGGAATTTATTCTTACATATATTTGGTAGATGTTTGTATGTTGATTCAAAATAGGTCAATCCTATCAATGGATCCTTTCAGGAAAATCAAGCTCTTGGGAGATACAAATGGCTGACCAGTTGGTTAGCCAAATGGCTGTTTGGTTCCAGTTGGTTATCTGGACAGTATCCCCAGTTCTGCCAAGAAAGTAATGGGATATGGAAAGGGGCATTTCGTTGGGTTTTTATAGCTCTCTTGCCTTAAATATATCCCATACTCAAAAAAGCTTTTGAGGTAAATTTCATGAAATGGAATCATATGATGCCACTTTACCAACAAAATAAGCTCAACTGATACCTTTATGTTAAAAATAAATAAATAAAATTCCAGGAGAAAATATCATTTCCAAGCCATTTACTACTGAGGACTGCTTCCTTGCCAATAAATAAAAAGTTTTTCAAAATTCCCCAGAAACAGTGCAGAATTTTGTGAGACTAGAATGTACCCAGAATCTTCGTATACATGTCCTGTTGTTCATAAAGAAAGTTGTGCCTGATTCTTTGTAAACGGAATGTGAAGTAGAAGATAATGACAGAAAAACATCATGACAGACAAGTAGGCGGAGATTTATTGTATTGCCACTCAGTGGATTCTGCAGATAGTCCTAAGAATATCATTTTAATCAGAACAGATTACTTTGAGGGCTAAGATTTCCAGCTATCTATATTGACATACAGAAAAATTTACAGATTCCCGCATACAAAGGTAGATGTGATATTGCAGAGTGTTTTCCCTTGGTTAATTTTTTTCTAACATAAGGTATCAGAGCTAGATTATGCTACCTGTGTTTGAAAATAATGCGCTTTGCCTAACCTTCAGCAGAATGTATTGTTTTAGCATATTCTATGTATAAAAAAGTTTAAAGATGTCTTCAAAGAAGACTAGAGTCTTTAAGTCACTTATAGCTATATTTTACTACAAAAATTCATGTATAAAGATATATTTAAGTGTTTTTAGTTAAATTTAGGTTACTCCATATGAAATGTTTAATTTTAAGTTACTGTGAATTCTTTTGATCTGTGCTTTGTCTTTTTTAAAGCCCTTTCCATCTTATTGCAAAGAAAGTTAGCTATTAAGAGGTATTAAAAGATCCAGTGCCTAGATGGACAGGGTTAAAACCTTTTGTAATATATTTAAATGTATATTTTTAAGAGAGATACTACATTGCCAATGATTTTATAAATTAAAATTTACAAATTTATGGAGACAAACCAAAATATTTTTTTAAGAGAAGATTAAAAAATTAGTTTGTTTGGCAGTTCTTGTCATAAGTCATTATTTAGATCAAGAAATCTGTGTTGTTGAAACCATTGTTGATTGAAAAGTGAATGTCATTAATTGCTGATACATTTCTAAAAACAGAACATTTTTAAATCGTTTTCCTATCTTCCTGTTACAGCATTTCCAGTTGCTTCAGACTTCACAGTTTTAATACAAAATACCAGCTTACATTATAACACATTGTGTAAGATGTTTTTAAAAATAACATTGTTATATTCCAGTTATACTCTTCTATCTGCAAAGTTGTTCTTTTGTCTTCAGGCTGCACCCCTAATTCTTAGAATCCATTTTGTTTTGTTTGATGAAAAGCTATTGTTGAAATGTTCTGAACTGCAAGACAGATTATCTACATAAGATCCTATAAATCTTCACCATGTGGTGTTTACCAGCTGTTACTCTGTACTTTAAAAGTCCGAATTCTTCTAAACTACTTCTGTAGCATTTTCTAAACAACAACTAGTCTTTTCCTTTTCTCCTGAGATTGCAAACCTGTTCCCTAGGTGTGCTCTGTGGTGGGCGTGATTGGGAGTGAGTGTGGGGGCGTACCTCGTCCCAGTCTTTCTGTACTGTAACTACCTCATGGTTTGAGTGAAGGTTGTACTACTAGGTGTGTTCACAGAGCACATTTTGTTGGGTATATCTTGCGTGTGATTTTTTTCCTGTTTGTTTTATCTGGGGGTTGTTTATGACACTGACAGATGTTTTTCTTTAAAGGATTATTATCAGTTTCCAGATACAATGCTTCTCTCTTCTGGTTTTTCCTAAATGAGCCTGATTTTGTTGCTGTTTTTCATTACCTATGAGGGTAAAAAGAGTACCCTTTAAATCCCTGTGGCCAGTTTGAACACCCCTGGTGTACTATTTTCTCTGTTCAATGTGTCTGCAATTTTTTTTAACATGCTTAGATGTATAGTTTTGATAACCACAGTTTTAAGTCCTTTATCTGTGCATAATAAAAAGATATATATCAATTATTCATGCCTTGTGTTTGGTCATTATTAAACTCTCCCCCCTCAGGCTGTCATAATGCATTTTCATGTATTTTCTCCTAAATTGTCAGCTCCAAATGTATAAAATCAGGAGGCTGAAAGAACTTCGCTCATTGGAGCAGAGGGAAGGAGCATTCAGCCTAAGGGGAGAGAGAGACCCTCTTCCCCTGAGGGAGAGACAGGAGCTGGCTGTCACTCTGCTCAGAAGACATGTCAGAAGAACCGAGGTGGTGTCAACTCTAGGATGCAGTCCTGGGCTCTCTGTCAATTGTTTAGAGGCATGGAAAAAGTATTTGGAAGGAGAAATAATGTGTATGTTGCATCAACTACATTTATCCCCACTTTATTCCCCTGTGGTGCTTCCATATTTCTCTGTAAAAATGTCAAAATCAAAGTCATCTTTCATCTGACCAAGCTAGAAACTTGGGAATCTAACTTGCTTCCACTTGGTCTCCTCCATCCCCCAATTAAAAACAACACGCTTTACTTTTCTTCTGGAGTATTTTCCTCTGCACCACTTTGGTCTCCAGACAAAGACTGAACTGTAGCACTGTCCTCCCGTTGTTCATTGATTTGCTCAAGCAGACACCAGTAATGTCTACATTGTGAGACTTGTTACTGTTTTTGGTATATCGAATACAAAATGGGGATCTTGCAAGGCTCTGCTTGCTGGGCTCTCCAAGAGGGGCAGAGGAATCAAACCCAGGTCTGCCATGTACAAGGCAAACACCCTACCTGCTGTGCTATTGCTCCAGCCCTAGACAAAGACCTATTACCTCATTACCTAAACCAAAGTCTCAGAGCAGCCTAACCATCGAGCTCACTGCACCTTTCAGCAAAGAAAACTTGTAGCACTGTTTTCCCGTTGTTCATCTATTTGCTCGAGCAGGTACCAATAACATCTCACAACAAATTGTGAGATGTTGTTACTGTTTTTGGCATATTGAATACCCCATGGGGAGCTTGCCAGACTTTGCTGTGTGGGCAAGATACTCTCGGTAGCTTGCTGGGCTCTCCGAGAGGGACTGAGGAATCGAATCCCGGTTGGCCATCTGTAATTAAGCTTCAGAGTCTATTAACTGCCTGAAATGCAAAATGCCCTACCTGCTGTGCTATCACTCCAGCCCAAAGAAAATCTAAAGATACTCAAATAGTCATTTTCTACCTAAGACTTTAATTTCCCCATCTGCTTTAGCGTAAAGTTCAACCCCCAAACTTTTTTGAAGTGAATAAGCTACCTACATTCCCAGATACCTCCCTCTCAACCGCCGCCCCCCCCCCCCACACACAAATGCTTTTCTCCCCTTACCCTACTCAAGGCTTCCTTACCCCTTAACCTCAAGTTTTGCGTGGCTTATCCCCTACCAGATGAATTTCTAGTTGATCAAAGATTAAATTAGAGCATTGAATATGTGTTTTCAAATCCCACTCATATCTCTACCTTCTCAGTTAAGGATGATTGAGATGGTTTTAAACCAAATTACAGAAAGGTATTCAGAGAGCAGTCCACCTCTCATTGCTCAAAGATCACATGGGTGAGTGAGGGTGCCCCTATGGCAGGAACAATGTGGGGAACGGTAGCAGCAACTCTCACAGTGAGAGTCGATTGCAGATGAGAGATTCAGCCAGCTTTCAGTGATGCCAGTTCCTTGGAGAATATGTGGAAGAAACTGGTAGTCTACCCAGTATTCTGCCATTCTCTTCTCTATGTGTCTACTAGAGAATAAACCTAGGCCATCTGTAACTGAGCTTTAGAGTTTATTAACTACCTGAAATGTAAATTTTTTGCATCAATGTGTCTGGTGTTTAAGATTTTTTTAAAAATTTTTATTAGTGAGACACCATGAGGTACAGTTGTAAACTTACAAATTTCTGTGCTTGGGTTTCAATTATACAATGATCAAGTACCCATCCCTCCACCAGTGCCCATTTCCCACCACCACGGATCCCAGTATCCCTCCCACCAAGGATTTTTTTTTATACCTGAGTTTGTGATTTTTTTATTTCATGTGCTAAATGTAAATCCTATGGGAAAAAATTTGTACACACAATACATCTGTACAAAATGAATGCAAATAATACAGATGTGTAGCAATGACAAAGCTCCAATAATTCTCTATCCCTTAGAGGATTATTAGACTTAGAATATTGACTTAGGTATGTTCCTAGACATTTATTTCCTTATATTCACCTCAACATGTACTTATCACTAAAATAAAGTTATATTTTAATGTTAGTTACTTGCTTTTTTATGTGGCTTATCTTCCTATCAGGCTATGTAAAATGAACACAGATTATCTTTTTATGCCACTTTCAAGAGCCAAGGTAAAATATGGTCTGTGTAGGAGGTGAAATCAAGTTATCAACACTCTTTCTTACCTACTTTCAGTCACTTTCCTGGAAGAAATGGTGATAACAGCATCCCACACACCTCGACCCGCACGCCGTACTCTTTTCTCTTCTCTTTATTGCTACAACAACCAGAAATGACACACTTTTCTTGTGGTATTTGCACATGCTTAAGTTGTAGTGCTTGTCTGGGTCACAAAATTTAACAGCTTTTTTTCTAACTCAAATATATTGCAATGTTCAGAAAAAGGATTTTACTTTCTTTCAATACTAAAAGATAGGATCGTATTATACATACTCTGAAGCATTCTCCTTTTATTTGCTAAGATACTCTGCTCCATTTAATAACATATACATGCAGTTAAAATTTATATTCTCTCATTCTAGTAATTTAAGGCAAAAAAATCACAAACTGAAAAAATTTATCACAATATACTAAAATATCACTCTAAAATAATATATGACCCAAAAAAGATTTGGATGAGAAAGCTTTGAGCAATGCAAAGAAGCCTGATATAAATGAACCACAGAGAACCCTGTGCTCAAATTTTAGAATTTTGTACATATAGATTATATTATATAAAGATTGACCACTACTTGCCATAGTGGATTCTTAGCAGATATCACTAAGATATCTGACAGGTCAAGTTATTTAACCAAAGTACTTGTACTTTGGAAATCAAGATAATTGTGGGGTGATCACATCACACAGTATTAGTATTCACAGCTTACTTCTGCTCTGTGACCAGGGATCACTTTTGATAGTGCTTGGGAGATCATTATGGGTTGCCAAGGATTAAACACCAGTCAGAGCCCTCCACGAGCTGCTCTCTGGAACGGCCATGGCCCCAGACCTAATTCAGAATTTCAGCAGCTTGCGGCAGAAATGTGAATGGACTATGCTTTAAACTATGATGCTGTGCCCACTCCCCCGCCCGGGAGGGAAAGGGTGTCTGTCTCTTCTGCCTTTCCCCCTGCCATTCCACCCGCAGCACGTGGTCGCCCCCTCAGAGCTTATTGAACAGCCGGTTATGAGCCGGCAGTGACGGGACAACTGCAACCTCATGGGATTGGGGGGGGGGGGGGGGTAGAACTTGCACGTCCTTCACGCCCTACTGAGGCCACGAGTTGCCCCCCACGAGCGGCTCTCCAGCACGGCCATGGCCCCAGAGGCACACAAACCAATCTCGTAATTATTCGGCTCTTGGTAGAAATCCCTCCAGACTTGATTAGTAAAATATCAGAAATCCAAAATCGTGCGGCTGCAACATCATATGGTCTACATAACCAGCAATAGAAAACAAATTATTTCACAATGGCTTTTCAGCAGTTATGATTGTTGGGAAGAAATTCCAAATAATAATGGTGCATCTTTTGTCAAAATGATGAATGTAATCAAAGTACAGAGAGAGTTAAGTAGAAATCATCTGCTTCACAGGCATCGGGAGGGGTGGGAAGGGAGTATATCGGGGTTCTTGGTCGTGAATAATGTGCACTGGTGAAGGGATGGGTGTTTGATCATTGTATGACTGAGACTTAAACCTGAAAGCTTTGTAACTTTTCTCATGGTGATTCAATAAATAAATTAAAAAAAAAAAAACACCAGTCAGCTGTATACAAGGCTGGCACCAATTAATTAATTAGGCAAAACACTTAATTAGGGAAAAAATGGGGTAGAAAGAGTTCAAAGGTCTAGTGGATGTGCTTTACATGCCCCGACCCCTTGCTGAGTGGGGTTGGATGCCCCATCCTGGGTACCTCTGGTCCTAAGCAGCACAGGTCCCAGGGTGGCACTAAATTTCAGTCAGTAGAGCTGGGCCAGGTATCATAGGGAGTAGCCCCTGGCCCCCTGAACACTACTGGAGAGGACCCGTAATGATAAAAGTATACAATAGAGCAAATAAGGGAAATAGCTTCCCCCCCAAAAAAATTTAAAGGCTCTGAATGATTAACAAAAATAAATGCAAGCATTTGAATAAAAAAAATACAGTGCAGATATTTTATAAAGAAGGGGCCACCACATAAAATTGATTCTAATAAATTTGAAAACCTAAGTAACAGTTAATACTTCAATTAATACTGTGGCGGGAGAAAACCCTGTGCAGGTTTCAACAGAGAAATTTGTGTGAGAGATTGCTTAAGTGGGCACCCAATGGCTGAAAGGTGAAAAGAGTTCACAGAGGTAACTCAGGGTTCAACAATGCAGGAAGAATTGCATTCCTCCTGTGGAGGTTTTTGGAACTTGAAGTTGGGGTGGTTTGTTGAGTCCCTGCAATGCTATCATCATGCATATAGGAAAGGGAGAAATTGGAAGACAGGAGCTTAATAAAAGTCAGATGATTTCCTGGAGAAGATAATTTACCAAAACAATTCAAGGGGCCAGAGAGATGGTACAGAAAGTAAGGCATTTGCATTGCATGCAGCTGATTTAATTCTGGATTCAATTCCAGGCATTGCATACGGTCCTTGAGCACCTCCAGCAGTGACCCCTAAGAACAGAGCCAGAAATAAGCCCAGAGCAACAGTGAGTGTGGCCCCACAAAACAAACAACCCCCCAAAAAACCAAGAAACAACAACATATTGAGAATATCTTTTTCACCATTATGGAAAGCAATGTTTTAAAATCTATTACAAC